GGGTGGTGGACTAAGACACAACTTGTCTTCCATCTACAACCCGGTTTTGAGATCTCTGCCCAAACATGCCCACCAGGACAATAGGCGTCGGTTGACAGGGGAGGATCCAAAGACAGGTAACGACCCTCACTGATACTGGGCTGTAACGACTCAGTCGTTAATGGGAAGTGTTGGCCTTCTAAGGACTGAAACCACACCGAGGGGGATAAATATCTCCGACTCAACACCAGTCAGTCAGAACTGATGAAGCCTCTTGGATGAGAGGTGAAACGTCTTCGATCTAGATATCCAAGTCCAATTGATTTCCAAGGTTATTTCGGTTGCGGTTTACTATGACCTGGATGACTGAGAATCTGCACAGATACTATTCACAGTATCATTGATACAATAGCTCTCATATTTATCCTAATAGCTCATATCACAGCATTCCTCCAATGGCTTAAAAACCAAGCAAACTATCAAACTCACAAATGCAATTAATGACTTCAAAGACACTAGACATCTTGTGCTAAGGATGGCAAAACCGAGCCAAACAAACCTGAAAGCATAAGCCAATAAATTTCTATCCTCCAACTCCTCTAAATAGATCTAATAAAGTAACTTACCCGTGAGTTTGCAGTAGACACCGAGAGCAAAATTCCTGACTGAGCAAAATCTGAAGAAAAGCCGCAATATAAACAGGGGTGTGTCCTGAAGGACGCCACACATCATCTGGCTCATACGGCGTCCTCATGAAAGTCCCTATATGCATGCTGGTGGAAGACCATTCCTGACTTGTAAGCAGAAACTACAACACCACGAAACACCTCAGAAGGTAGTCAAAAGTGACAATGGTGCATGCAAAGAATCAAAGGAAATTTTGAGCAAAATGTTTTATGCAGAATATATGGATTATTACAAGAAATGTATTAATGTCTAGCCTAATAAGTGTCCAGTGCGTCAGTTTATGACCTGGGCTTTGTAAAAGCGGTAGGCTATTTACAGTAATCTATAATCTGCAAAGTAATATATACTTACTTTGGTGGCTAGTGAAGTAGGCCTAAAATATTCTCACTGAAAAGTATTTACCACAATATCACGGCCTTTCTGTTATCCACTTACTTAGGTAATGCTTTATACAAACGGACATTGTATATCAGACGTTTATTTCTGTACAATTAACCTAAAACTATTGTTCCTGCGCACAATTTAATTAAACCACTTCGCGATAATCTTTTGGACAGACGATGTCCCAATCGGACAAACGGAAACAATGATCCAAATAAAAGGGGAGGAGTTAAATTGACGTATTGACGTAAAGTACACGACAACCAGGAAATAAAAGTAAACAATGCATAGGAAGACGAAAAATATATCGCGTTTGTCATTTATTCTCGCGCCGAGTCTGTGCCTTTTTGATGCTTTATTTATAATATATGAATGATTTATATACATGTAAGGACTGGGACCCAGTTAGAGACAGGCTGAAAACCGGTAAGACCACCCCCAGAGAAGTGGGGCGCGCCAGCCGCTAATAATAGCTAGCTCAATATGGCAGCTAACTGTATTAACTTACTTAAATTAGTTTACAAGATGAAACGCTCTCACGACCATGGTTTAAAAAAATCATTGGTGTTAGCTTTGTCTGGCGAATAAAACATCATCTTGCCCCCATATCTTTTTGATTTTAGACAGGATTTGCCTAAGTGTGCTCGTGCGTTTGCACTTATTAATTTCAGATTTAGCTATGTTAGCCATCAGATCGTCAGAGGAGGAGTGCGCTGAGATTGAGGAGATGGACACCTCAGAGCCCAACTGGTGCTGGTTCTACTTGGCTGAGTGTGGAGTATGGCATATGTTTGAGGTAGATTACAATACACAGTCAGTATTTATACTGTATATTCCCCGCCCATTGTCCCCTCCCATGGTGATACATTTACTGCCAACCAAAGACTATTGAGTGCAATGTTACAGACTAGCTTTTTGTTGAGGTCCATGAATCAATACAGTCACCGGGTGTAGTCTTTGATAAGCACAAACAATGACATGCAACAGTCAGTGCAAAAGTATCCCAAGTCCTATTGCACTGTACATTTCCATTCACACATTTTCACTGCATAAACTCACTGGCCACTTTATTCTGTACACCTGTACAATTGTATGCACTTCAATGCAACATTTCTGCCTTAACTGTGTTTATGAAGCTCAAAATGTCTCCGTTTTTTGTTTAATTGAAATAAATTTATACATTCAGTTATATGTTTATTATTGAGGTCATAGTTAAAGGTGGTGTTGTACTGGACTACATTATATTCAGAGGTGTCCCTAATATTCTGAGCGTCTCATGTATGTAGCTGGGGAGGACAAAAATATAGAGACGCCTCTAAATATGATGTAGTGCAGTACAACACCATCTTTAACTATGACCTCAATAATAAACATATAACTGAATGTATAAATTTATTTCAATTAAACAAAAAACGGAGACATTTTGAGCTTCATAAACACAGTTAAGGCAGAAATGTTGCATTGAAGTGCATACAATTGTACAGCTGTACCTAATAAAGTGGCCAGTGAGTGTATAATTAAACATTAGTAGATGCATTTAATTAGTTGGCTGAAAGAAAATGAGACTCACCTATTGTGATCATCAAGCAAAAATGCCAAACATTTGGTGGTTGTTAAGTATGGGAATTCACTGCTTTTCATGTCCCTAATTTTTGACCGTTTGTCAGGCAAAATAAAACATGATGCCACCGTCTGCTCTAGTGATAGGAATTTTTTCACAGTTTTCTGGTATTTTACAAACTACATTGTGAAAAGGAATCTGTCAGTTCCACAAGAGAAATAGGCCACGGAGTTGCAGACCTAAACACTGGGCTAGGACTGCAACTAACAGTTATTTACATTATTGTAAATATTTTCATGGCTTGTCTAGAAAATGTTACACAGTTGTGAAAAACGTTTTCCTTAAGCCTAATGTGACTAACTGTGTCATCAAATAATCATTCCCATTCTCCAATAGACTAATTAATTCCTCTCAATTTCCCTATCAGATTGATCCCAGTGCTGCCTGCTCTGTGACCAGTGCTCAGATCGAGCAGTGTTACAACAGGAACCAGCGTGGTGTTATGGAATTCTACACGGCCAAATATACATACAGACTGGACTTTTCAGGTATGATGATGAAAGACCAACTTTTTGCATGACACTGCACAATCAAAGTAAAACTAGAGTCATTATATCAGACAGAATATTCAGCCTAAACATGCTTGAAGATACAGTATCTAAATCCTCCAGAACCTGTACATAAATATTGTATGAGCTTCTGTAGCTCTAATGTTTATTCAATTCCTTGCCAGTTATGCGTCAGATTAATATCACAACAGGAAAGCAGCGGCCAATCAAACGTTCCCTCCATTCTGCAACAGGCTTCAGGTCAGTTTTCATGTTTAAAGTGAACATGCCAGAAACTTTATATTGTCTTCATTTCATCCATTCATCCAGCAGAGAAGAGATGTTGGAGAGAAATCTACAGTGGGTACGAAAAGTATTCAGACCCCCTTAAATTTTTCACTCTTTGTTATATTGCAGCCATATGCTAAAATCATTTAAGTTCATTTTTTTCCTCATTAATGTACACACAGCACCCCATATTGACAGGAAAAACACAGAATTTGACATTTTTGCAGATCTATTAAAAAAGAAAAACTGAAATATCACATGGTCATAAGTATTCAGACCCTTTGCTCAGTATTTAGTAGAAGCACCCTTTTGAGCTAATACAGCCATGAGTCTTTTTGGGAATGATGCAACAAGTTTTTCACACCTGCATTTGGGGATCCTCTGCCATTCCTCCTTGCAGATCCTCTCCAGTTCTGTCAGGTTGGATGGTAAACGTTGGTGGACAGCCATTTTCAGGTCTCTCCAGAGATGCTCAATTGGGTTTAAGTCAGGGCTCTGACTTTCTCAATCAGACATACAGTACAGATCTTATAATGGGATTTTCTCTTCTTTTGGACAAGGTTTTCCTAAGTGACTCTGGTGCAGTGATAAAACTCAGATGCACTCACTCTGGTGTTGCTGTACTTAGCTGTCTTTCAATTATTTTCTCAGGTTTATTTGTGATAATCTTGCCTTGCCTGTTCCCTGTCACTGGGAGAGAATCAATACAGATGAGCCCTATCAGGTAAGAAAAATAACTTATTGTGGCATACATTTTAATTTGGTTCACACACTTTGTTGCTACTGGTTTTGCCCCCGAGGAGTCAGATTCTTTTAATGTTTATATTGACAAGATGATGGAAATGATGGCAACTACTGTTATACCCCAGTTCTTTTACTGGACAGATCTGAAAATGAAGAATTCCATGTGTGTGTGTATGTTGTATGCGTGATGTGTAACTAAACATTCATTCAGACATAATTCTTACACAAGATTAATACAAACATAACTGGTGTCAAGGTACCCTTCTCAGAGTCAACATTATCTTCTAACCTTGAGCAGAGCACACATGAGCAGACTTTGAATCTTACTAAACTGCATTACTAACACATTAAAGTCTAACAACTTAAAGTCTAATAATTATCTGACTAATGTATTAATTTCTAACACTACACTTAAGTTTTTCTACTAGGAAGGAACCAAGTAAATCATGAGATCAGACCATGTTTACAGCTGTGATGACATATTAAATGTTTAAAATAGTGACAAAAGGCTTTTACGCATAGTTTTACATTATAAGATTACACAGGGAATATTTCTATAAATGCACAATTTACATAGAGCAGGATACATAACCAAATAGTAACACTGTCAGTGTATTTAAATGAGCATTTTCTCAAACTCATAAGTGGACAGTAAGTTGAATATACAAGTGAATCCCATATATAAGATTTTGTCAAACTTAACAGATCAAAATGTAACTGACCATATACTGAACCAATGTAGCTGATTTAGTATTAAATTAAAAACACAAGGCAAGCTAGCGCATCTCTGTCCTCCAGTAGGGGTCGACTGTGGTTCAGTGGGTAGAGCAGCCGTCTCCCACCCAGAGAATTGGAGGTTTGAATCTTGGTGCCTGCAGTCCACGTGTCAAAGTGTCCTTGGGCAAGACACTCAACCCCAAGTTGCCCCTGATGGTTAGAGCCATCGGTGTGAGTTGGCGCCGTAGATGTCTGCCTGGAAGCAAATTCCTTGTGTGTAACATACTTGGTCAAATAAAGGTGATTATCCATCCTGCATCATTAGAATAAGTGTTTTTTCTTTCTACAACATGCTGAAACCCGCTTTAAGGAAATCAGAAAAATTAGTGGAGCAAAAATGACAAATTAACATATGACATTTTCTACACTATATTTTAAATTATGCAGCTGCAGTTGTTTATTGGTCTTCCATGATTTCTTTTTACTTTTCAAACAAGCTTTGACAACGTAACTCACCCACTAATTTGACTATTTTATCCATGTGTGTTTTTGCAGCTAATCCAGCTTGGCAGAGACACCTATGAGTTTAAAGAAGTCGCCAGACTATATGAAAGGACTATGGATCATCCGATCAAATCCATCCAGAGAATTCAGAACCTGGATTTATGGGAGTTCTTCTGCAGGTAGACACTTGTATTATTATGAGTGGACTGCACAATGTCCAAAGTGTTTTTTTGGGTTAGCAGAGGATTTTCCTTTCACGGACATGGTAAGAGTTGGAGATTTCTAGTAGTGCATAAATTAATTCACAATGGTTTTGCAGTCCTTGAGACATATAATGATCTTTTTCTCCGGCTCCCACCACAAACAAACAAACAAAATGAAACCAAGGTTTAAAATATATCATAGATTGTGCTGCAACATCTGAAACCCCAGTGAGTTTGTCTTTGTCAATTAAAGTCAGTCATATGTTTTTAAGAGAATACCCCTTTAGCCCTTTGTAGCTTGAAAATTCACTCATACAGTAACAAAGTGATGATCTCTGTGTTGTGCTGTCATTCCGTGGTTCTCTCCTAAGGAAGAAAACACAGCTGCGAAAAGTTAAGCGCACACTGGATATCGAGGAGCGAATGCTGTTTCACGGCACAGGACACAGCAACATACAAGCAATATGTACATTTAACTTTGACTGGCGGCTGACAGGAAGCCATGGTGATGTCTATGGCAAAGGTAGATCCCTCTGTGTTGTGATGTAACATCATGAAACTATTCACTGCATGTTTTTTGTTTGATTGATAGCATTTGTCTCACACTTCTCTCTTCCAGGGAGCTACTTTGCCCGGGACGCCAAATACTCCAGTAAATTCTGTCACACCACAGGAAAGCACAACACGACCCTGCAGAGACATGGACTCACCCCACCAATATTTGCTAGTGAGCCTCCCTATAAGACCATGTTCCTGGCCCGAGTACTAGTTGGAGAATACACAGAGGGGCATCCTATGTACTGCAGACCACCCTCCAAGGATGCCAGCTTCACCAAATTTTATGACAGTTGTGTAGACGATATGGCCAATCCAAAGATTTATGTCATTTTCGACAGCAATCAAATTTACCCAGAGTATTTGATTGAGTTCTACTGATGCCTAACAAGAAGATATATACGTTTTTGGATGTCAAACTGAGAAATGTTTGCCAGGATGAAATGGAAAGAGAAGCGGTTTAAGGGACATTTCCATTTTCCCCCATCAGACCCAGTGCCTAACTGAAGCATGAATCATCTAAAGTGCCTTTGAGGAAACTATTAAATCAAGAAGACATTGTGTACAGTTTCTATTCTGAGAGACGGGACGTTGTGGTGTTTCTAAAAAGAATGAAAACTCTGACTGAAGATCAGTCATTGTATCAGTTTTTTATTAAATACAGAATTTGTGCTTGCTTGTTCTCCTGATTCTGATAAGTTGCTTAAAATAACAGGCACTCGCAGCCTGTAGATTATAGATGTGTCCTGATCAGCCACAAACATTTCTTCACGTTCGTAGTGCCATGCATGAGCTTCTTAACAAGTTGTGTACAGTAATTCAAAATGATGAAACCAAAAACCACGACATGTTCCTGCTTATTTAGCACCTTTATCTGTCAGTTAGTGACATCAACATCTGTGTAGAGTACAACGTATTACTGTATGTAAGCATGGATCTTTTTATTTTTATTCATGAAAATGCTTCTACCTCGGAATTTTTTTAACCATGCATCAGTTTCCCCTTTCCAGGAAAGGTTTTGTAATTATATCACAATGACATAAAGTTGTGATGTCGTGTTCACTCATCTATGTGAGCAAAATGTTTCTGTGTAGCAGTATTGAAAATACTTGAAAATAACTTAGGTTAAATTTGGTTTGAGCAGTTAACAAAGTTCATTCCAAATAAAAAAAAAAGATCAGTTTCAGCCTCACATTCAAATTAAAGTCATGCGAGTGCGATGTCACCACCTGCTATGGTAACATCGTTCTATGACAAATAAACAGGTCGTCTTTGCACCTGGTGTCAGTTTATCAAAATATGAATGAGCAGCACACGTATAGTTCTGCACTGAAAATTAACCACACAATGTAATATTAATCTGCTGTGTGTATTTGTTGAATTGACTGTATGACTGGGTTTGCTGTTTTTCTCAGAATGAAGAGAAGATTCAGAGTATCACTGTGTGTTTGCCCCAAGGCAGTGAAAGACTACGCAGCTGTTGTATTTCCTCATATCAACTGCTGCCGTATTGTAACACTACAGCTGTGTGTGTTGAGTAGGGGTGTGTGAAGCTGTGTGTGTTTATAATTTGCACATGTTAACCTTCTCAACGTATATGAAATTATTTCTA